AAAGAGTGGACCAGTTATTCTTCAGTTATGTCATTAACCTGTGTATAGACATCCCCTAAGTGGATAGAAGGCAGGTCACAGAATACAGGTGGACATGTCTTGAAGAATACCTGGTTACTGAAAGGCAAGTCGCTGTGTCTTCTTTGGAGTAGTGGTCTTCTGCCTGGACAGTCTCAAACAGTGACCTTATTAAAGGAGATAAGCATATCAAAGAATTAACTGAAAAGAGGTAGTCAGGACAATTGTCTCAGAGCCAGTTCTAAACGTTATGTTGACTGAATTTGTCCTGAGCACCAGGTAGGAGCTCCCCAGACTTCTGCAGCTGACTAAAAGAGGCTGCTGAGGCAGCCTGAGCCCTGATAGAAAATTTGACTGGAAGATCACAATTAGCACTCTTGTAATATAACTTGATATATCTAGAAAATCATTGGGAGAGGAGCATCTTTCTCTTTCTCTTTTTGTGGCATAAGCTGCAGATAATTTTGTTGAGGATCTGAAATTTAAATAAAATAACATTCTAGCTACATCTAGAACATGCACTCCTTTTTAGGCCATTGTAATATGGTTTGGGGAAAAACACAAAGAAAATACAGACTAGAGGAAAGTACTGTATTTCCTTTGTATAAGGTAGATACAGAACTGGTTGGATCACTGTGCTTAAAAAGCAGTCATCAATGGTTCAATGTCTAGTTGGGAGGTATCAAGTGGGGCTTTCCAGGGGTCTGTCCTAGATCCAGTGTTATTTAACATCTTAATGATTTAGATGATGGGCTTGAGTGCACACTTAGCAGATTTGTGAAGGACACTGTGTTGGATGCAGTTGCAGAGACTCTGCAGGGCAGGGCTAGGATCCAACATGACCTGATAGAATGGAAATACTATCAACAATATACCTGATGAGATTGAAAAGGACAAGTGCTAAGTCCTGCACTTGGGACAGAATAACTGCATACAGAAATACAGACCAGTGATACTGCAATACTGCAGAGAAGGACCTGGAGGTTATAGTGAACCATAAGCTGAATGCGAGCCAACAGGCTTTTCTCTGTGACGGTGGGGCACAAGACTAGCAGCAACAGCCTCAAGCTGCAGCAGAGGAAATTTCGGTTGGGGATAAGGAGGAACTTTCTGATTATGAAGTTGGTCAAGCATTGGAATATGTTACCTAGAGAAGCTGTAGCATCTCTATCCCTGGAAATGTTCAAAAGTAGGTTAGACAGGCACTTGCTGGGATGGTTTAGTCAAGAATGGTCCTGCCTTGACAGGAAGCAGTGCTAGAGGACCTCAAGAGGTCCCTTTCCTATGATCTATTTCCTATGATCTCTTGATGATGATTTTTCCCCCTGCTGTTTAAGCAGTGAGTATCCATGTTGCAAGGTGCAAGAACGGTAGCTGTGAGCGAAGAGCTCTCCTTCCCTGCTATATCTGGAAGGTAGCAAAATTGGTGTTTTAACTGAAGTCTGAGAGGTTTCTGCAAAAGAGAATTCCCTTGGACAAAGGGATACTTAAAATCAATGCAACTGCACCTTGCTTCAGTTTTCCTAACATTTCAATGGAAATGGTGGATGTATGCACATAGGAAACTTCCTGTCCAAAATTTTATGAAGGCATCAGATAAAGATCTACAACTGAGACCCCCTCTAAAACAAAATGTCTTACATTTCCTGTTAAAAATTATGTTGAGCAGATCTATGCTTGGAGTGTCCCACTTCTGAAAAATCTCCCTGATTATCAGCGACTTCTGCTGACCACTCTTGGTGTGAAAAAGAGTGACTAAACGTTGATCTGCTGAAATGTTTATCTGAGCTTGTCAGTGTTTTGCTGGGATGTAGAACATTATCTTTTCAACAATTTGGACTGTTTCCTGGAGAGAGTCCAGCAGAGGGCAATGAAAATGGTTCAGGTCTGGGGCACGTGACTTGTGAGGGGAGGCTGGGGGAACTGGACTTATTTAGTCTGCAGAAGAGAAGACCAAGAGGGATTGAATAGCAGCCTTCAACTCCCTGCAGGGGGTTGCAAAGAGGATGGAGCTGGACTGTTCTCAGGGGGGCAGATGACAGGACAAGGAGCAATGGGCTCACGTTGCAGCAGGGGATGTTTAGGTTGGATATTAGGAAAAACTGTCTCACTAGGAGGGTGGTGAAGCATTGGAATAGGTTATCTAGAGAGGTGGTGGTATCTCCATCCTTGGAGGTTTTGAAGACCTGGCTAGAAAAAGCCCAGACTGGGATGAGATAGTTGGGGCTGGTCCTGCCTTGAGCAGGGGGTTGGAATAGATGTGACCTCCTGAGGTCCCTTCCTACCCAAATTATCTATGAGTCTATGATAGCAGGGGATGATCTGACTTCCCTCTGCCTGTCTTCTCTAAATTATACTAGTAGTGTTGTCCATTGTGACTTATATGTGTTTGCTTTTTTCCCTGAATCAAAACTAAGAACGTTATATATGCCAAGTAAATTGCTTGTAATTCAACTGTGTTTACATGAAAGTCAGATACTTTCTCTATGTTGCTTGTATCTGAGGATCCTGCAAATGTGCTCCTTCCTTTATCATTGATTTGAGACATCCATCATCAGAATTAGAGATGGTTGTGGAGGACCATGTGTGGGACACTTCTGCACACACAGGACAGATCCTGGTGCTGCAGACGGGAAAATAGCGCCTGTTGAGGATTTTTACATGGGGTCCATTTTGTGTTTCCTTATAGACAGATTTTAGCCAACCTTGAAGACAGTAGGCAAGTTCTAGCATGTAGAGTAAGTTTTCATGTGCTTCATGATATCAGACCTGATGTGAAGAAGGTAAGGCACAGCTGTGATACAGATGAGTTGAGCTTCTGCGCACTTTGTTGCAAAGACTTTAACAGGAATTTATCCTTTTTTATGTTGGCAAAGAGCAGCAGAATGACATTTAGATTTTCTGCTACTTGTTGTGGGGAAGAGCTGTGTACCAGCCAGTTATCTTGGTATGGTTGTACTTGGATGTGTTTTCATAGCAATGCTGTACTTCCATCCAACATTTTGTGAAAACTTTTAGGGCTAAAACCATCCGTCTGAGTCCATCCATGTGGACTAATGTTTTGAATCCACCCTGAACCTCATATTTATTTTGATTCTTCTTGCTCACAAAGTAAAGATAAATGTCCCGCAGGTTGAGATGAGTGAACCAACCTAATGGTTCCAGACAGGGAATTATGATGGAGAATTCTGGACTCCTGCTTTCCATTGAAATTACAGAGTTTTTTGAGACCAAGAATAACTTTCCAACCACCTTTCTAATTGGCACTGGGGAAGAACAGGAAAAACAAAACCTCTCCCTTGATATTGCATAGGGACTTTCTCTCCAATTCTGAGGGAGGTTGTTGTGGAATCATCTCATGAGAAAAGCCCCTGAAAAGGGAAAGGGAAGGGTGTGGGGAGTGGGAACTGAATGGTATCACCCACATTCATCATATAAAGAATGCCTCGGCCTGTGTGGGTTTTCTTCTAAGCTTCCTGAAAATAAAACGGTTCCCAAAAAAAGGGTGAGTGAATGGAAAAAATCTACTACAGTTGGTTTTCAATGGTAGAAATAACCGCCAAATTCCCTGCTTGCTGATGGGCAACACTCACAAGACTGAAAAAATCGAAAGAGCAGAATGTGGATTATGAACACACTTTTTTTTCCTTCTTGCAGACATGGTCAGTTTGTGATCTGGCTAATAATGCAGCTGATAGGACTGCCTCAGTTGTGCTTCTTTATATTGTTTCCTCTTTGTTTGAAAGAGGTATGTCCCTAGGGATCTTAGCATCATCTTTAAGTCTTTCAATGCACAGTTTTGCCAGCTTTAAAGCAAAAGAGCTCGGAAACTTTAACAAATGTAAATCTTCTATAATGTTCTGGAGTTTTCAAAGCAGACCAGACCTGTGTAACCATAAAGCCCCTCTTCGGTACTTTGGTTCCTTATCCTTCCATGCTGTCTTATGTTTGTTCCTTGGTCCTTTCTCGGGTAGTACTAACCACCAAAGATCCAGGAGAGGGTCATGTAAAATATCTCAAACTCTAATGCTAGCAACCAGTCCCTTCTTCTGATGTTCTTGTGTGTTACTGGAACGATCGCTGGGATCTACGACAATGCTTATACAAACACTAGGAGATCTTCCTTTGTTAGCATGGAAATTGCATCTAGAAGTGAAGAATTCAGTTCTTCCATTAATTTTTTAGATTTCTCAATCATCTCTACTGGACTATTTGAGATATCTCCCAATATTGTGAGTAACTCCTGAAATAGCTTATAGCCACCAGGAGGGGAAGAAGATGTCACTGCCGTACCAGAACAAAATATGTCTATGAAGCTTACAGGGAGGCTGCTTCTCAGTTGTCCATGGTTGTTGCTATGTAGGAGATTTAACAACGCTGAGACTGTCCATGATACAAAAACACAGGACTGAAAGGAGTCACTGAGTTTAGTTTCCTGCAATCACAACTGTAGAACAAATGTGTCTCCAAAAGGGTCCACAAAAACATCTGTTCTGGCTGCTTCCAAACACCATGGTCACAAAGCACTTGCTACAAAACAATATCGTATTTACTCACATATCACACATGCCTTTCCCACCAAAATCAGCCCTACAAAATTGTGGCACATATCTTAAGTGAGGAAGTTGATTTTGTCTCCCCTGAAATAGAAGAGGGGGGCCTAGAAGTAAACAACTGCTGTGACTCATGGGTGCCACGATGGGTGCTGCTTCTCTGTGGCCCTGAAAGCTGGAAGGACAGGGTCCAGTGCTAACTCTTCGACAGCCTGAGCACTTTGAGCTAGCCCAGAGCAAATGAGCTGCTTCATGAAGTCTATGGTCTTGGTGTGAGGGCTGTGGTATGGAAACAACACTTTATTATTTATAGGAACTTATATAAAGAACTATTTGCAGTAGCAGGAGGCACACAAGGGAGCCGCCAATGCCTTGTGCTCAGAAGAAGGGGAAAAAACCTCCAAATATCCTTGGCAATGTGACACAGAGGAAAATTATTTTTGGATTGCAATTTGGCAATCAGTTTAAGTTAGAGCAAAACCCACCAGCCAGGCACCTTTTCTTACTGAGAAAACTCCTAGAAGTACCAACGTACCTATGCTGCTCATCACCTCTAGACAAGGCCCAATGTCCAGGAGGAAAGCAAAAAAAAAACCACTTCAAAGGCCAATAATACATTTCTCATTGTAAATATTAGTGGGAGGGAGGGTTTTCTGGCCACTAAGATGTCTGGCGAAAGTCGTGAAATATGGGATTCACAAACTATAATACAGTGCAACCAAATACCACCTACATATGCAAACAATCCACACTCACACAGATCACATTTCTTATTCAATCCCTTTACGGGATACCAAACACAAAATCAGATATCACATCCTCTGATTCCTACTCTTAGAACATCCCTGTCCTCTCTCAATATCCCTTCCATAAAGTTACCAAGCTCTGGCGCAAAGCAATTCAGGTAACTAAGTCTTGTCACATTATTCATACCGTTCCAAACTTAACTCCTTTAATAGTTAGAAACCTTCTAATTCCCAGTCTCAATTTAGTGGTGACTAGTTTTTATCCATATGATCTTGTATCACTTTTTCTTTAACTTAAATAGCTCTTCTGCATTCACCCCCCACCAAAGTACGTCTATACTAAGTACACCTGTCCCCTCTCAACTTTTCTTTTCCCATGCTAAAGAAACCAAGATCTTAATCTCATCACCTAAGAAAGGTTTGCCATTTCCTTAATCATCCTGATAGCACTTCTATGCACTTTTTTCCAATTTAATTTAAGCTTTTCTTGGAAAACAGTAACTAGACCTACACACAAATGGGGTCTTATTAATGTGCAATGTTTTTCATACTTCCTGATCTTTACTAAACCTACCTTGCCTAATGCAGCCTATGACTGATCTAACCTTTTTCGTGACTGCAGCTCATGCTCTTTCTTTGATCAACAAACACACTCGGCTCCCTCTCTCCATGGCCTCTACTCCATAAGCCTCAGGTTAAAGCAGAAGACATTGGTATATATATCTCTGAGTGTGTGATTTGCACTATTAAATTACATTCCATTTCTGATACTTCAATCCACAGACTTATCTTTGCTTTAGCGATTCTCAACCAGGATGCCACAGCACCCTGGGGTGCCTTGAGATCCTTTTTAGAGTGCCATGCAATATTACAACTGTTAGGTGTACAGACATGATCCACAAGAAAAAAAAGAGATTTCAAATAGAAATCCACAGTCTCAAAAATATTCTGACCTGTTGCGGTCTGTCTGATTTTTTCTGCAACAGAATAATTACTCTATTGTTTTTCCGTAGTCAAAAAACTAGTGAAAACAAAGAGCTGGCATTTTCCAGGGGGTGCCTTAGTTTTATCAAAGGGTGCCTTGAGTGAAAAAGGTTGAGAACCCTTGCTCTAGAATAATCCAGTCCTCCATATTGACAATACATCCAAACTTTGTCATCTGTGAATTTCATAAGCTTGTATCTAGTTCTTGGATGCAAGGTCATTAATTAAAAATGTGCAAAAGGATGAGGTGGATAGAAAACTGGCTGTATTGTCAGGCTCAAAGGGTAGCAATCAATAATAATGGCTCCATGTCTAGTTGGCAGCCAGTATGAAGTGAAGTGCCCCAGGGGTCAGTCCTGGGACCGATTTTGTACAGTATCTTCATCAGCAACCTGAAAGAGGGGATGGAGTGCATCCTCAGCAATTTTTCAGATGACTCTGATCTGGGGGGAGCAGTAGATACGCTGGAGGGTAGGGCTAGGATTCATAGTGACCTGGACAAATTGGAGGATTGGGCCAAAAGAAATATCATGAGGTTCGACAAGGACAAGTGCACAGTCTGCACTTAGGAGGGAGCAATCCCCTGCACCGGTGCAGGCTGGGGGTGAGTGGCTGGGCAGCAGCTCTACTGAAAATGACCCAGAGGTTACCCAGAGAGATTGTGGACTCCCCATCCTCGGAGACCCGGCTAGACAAAGCCTTGGCTGGGATGATCTAATTGGGGCCTGTCCTGCTTTGAGCAGGGGGTTGGACTAGATGTGATCTCCTAAGATCCCTTCTAACCCTCATTTTTCATGATGCTATGAGTCCTCAGACCTATCCCTAAAGAACTTCACTAGCATCCTCTCTCTAGTCTACTGACTCTCCTTTCAGTATAACTCCTGGTAGTCTCCCTTTTAGCCAGCTCTCCTTCGTACTATTATAGTGTTAATTCCCATCTTCTTCATTTTAGCTAATAATGTCCTGTAAGACACAATATCCAATGTTTTGCTTAAATCTAGATAGATTAGGGTCACTGCTTTGGCATAAGAAAAATAAATTATTCTGGCATATTAGATTAATCAGACATGACCTTCTTGGACAAAGCCACGTTGCATCTTGTTCCATTTTCTGTTCACATCCATGTCCTTAATTATTCAGTTTCTGTTCTAAGATTTATATGCTACTGAGGGCAAACTACCAGGCTTGTAGTTGCCTGGGTGTCTTTTGAAAACAGACACAAGTTTGCTATTTTCCAATTATGGGGTAAATTAACAGATGCATTGAAAAGACTGCAAGATTCCCCTGCAGAAGGAAATCTAAGTTTAGGATGTGTAGGAGATGTAGGGTCTCCTCATATACAATGATAATTGCCAGGAACCCACTGAGCTCATGGGAGGAAGAAGCTGATGAGTAAGACGGAAACCCTTCCCTGCGGTCTCTGATGAAGAAAATAGGATTTTTTTTTTCCCTCTCAGTGACAAGGATGGTCTGAAAAGGGTCCCTGGCATTTTAAATGAGAATCTCTTTTCCAGTCCTTTAGTAGATCCTAGTGCTCATATAGAAATCGTAGTTGATTACTTCAAAAGCAGACTCTGGGAATGTGAAGATTAAGTCTCCTATTACTGCAAATGAAAGAATCCAGAGCAAAGATTGTCTGATCTGAACACCCTGTATCTGAAGTTAGATCCATAAATCTGTGTAATAAAAATAGAGTATATATAGATATACCACTTAAATATGTATTTTAATATAATAAAAGCTGTGGCACTTCCGGCTGTGTGTCTGTCTGTACGTAACGCTCCGGGCCAACTGTGAATGTATGGCCTGGAGCCTTACAGCTGGAGAGATGGGAGGAGCGGGGCTGGGGGCAGAGGCGGTCGGGGCCAGGCTGTGCTCCCCGCTGTGGGGAGCGGTGGGGGGAGCAGCCCCGGCCTGTGGCGCAGGGCATGTGGCTGTGCAGGGGGTGTGGCATGTGGCACACCTGGACAAGGGGCGCAGGAGCGGGCAGCACCTGCCAGCTATAGCACACAGCCACAGCATGCCTGCTCCCCACACAGCACCCTGTGACCACGCACCATGTGCCCCGTGCCATGCCCCCAGTGTGCCCTGCACCACACCCCAGGGCCATGCCCTACACCGCAGGGCAGCAGCCAGAGGGTGCTCCCCGCACTGTGGCTACTCCCCCTGCCATGCCCTGCAGCCACGTGCCACCCCCGCCCCTCATGGCCGTGCAACATGCCCCCCCGTGCCCTGCACTACACTCCGGGGCCACTGCCCACGCCACACAGGTACAGCCAGCAGGCACTGCCCACACTGTAGCCACTTCCTGTGCTACGCCCCGTGGCTGCGCACCCCCACCCCACATGCATCCTTACACCAAGCCCCCCCTACACACCCAGCACCACTCCCTGCGGCAACTGCCTGCACCACACCCTGCAGCTGCGCGCTACCAAATGATTTTGGTGCTACCATAAAGCTAATAACCAAGTGCCAAGTGTTCTCAACAAGGATAAAAGGGCATTACTCGAAGAAGACTTGCCCAAATAAGTCCGATATGAATACTATATATTCATAGTATTTACATAGCTGATTTTATAATTAATACTGACAAAACATTTCTGAGATGAAGGGGCTATATTAGACATTCCTTCTTGCAGCCTAGGCTGTGGTTAGAAACAACTGATGGATGCTTGGCCTGGTCCACCTCTTATATGCTCTCCATGGAAGTGGGCATGAAAGGCAGCCAGGGGCAGGCACTGGCCAAGAAATACTGATTTACAGAAATACTCATTCTGGGGCCCTACATGCACCAAAAAGCGGCATGGATATAGACACGTACTCAGGAGAAACAGCTAATTAATTATCTTTTGAGTTTATCACTATCCCACCATTCTAATTCTTGCTAATAATATATAAATCAAACCCATCAGACTGTATCATGTTCAGCTGCCTATGCCAGATGGAAAAAAAATGCTTTTTTTCTTTTCTCATACAATTTAGGTTTAAAGTGTACACTATAAAAATGAAGAAAAGCAAAGCATGTATGCTATCATCAGTGGTGGCAGTGGCCATCCCTTGAGTCAAGGATGATCTCTACCATGGCTCATTGATGGGTCTTGAGGTGATTTGAGAGTCCAATCTTTGAGCCAAAGACCTGTCCACCGAAGTTTCAGGTCTTCGTAGGGGAAAGTAGGCTGTAGGCCAGGATTTCTCTCCTTCCTCTGCTCTCTCTTCTCTACTTCAAAGGCAAGATGCTTTACCTCAAAACAGGTTGCTGCTTGGTTGCAGCACCACTGGAGTCGGTCAGCAGCCAGCTCCTCCCAGCTCTTGATGTCGGCATCCGTTTTCTTGAGGTCTGCCTTCAGTGTGTCCGTGTAGCGTTTCCTCTGGCCACCGCAAGATATCAGGTCGTTACTAAACTGGAAGTAGAGTGCTTGTTTTGGGAGTCAAGGCATAGATGTCATATCATGCAAGTCAAATATATGGCCTATGGGTTGAATCTGGCCTGTGGAGCCCTGTAATCCAGCCCACGGTGCTGCCCTGGACCAGCCGCACTCGCAGTAAGGGAAGTAGCCGCCCATGGCACTCAGTCTGGTCCTGGGCTGCACTGCCTGTGGTACCCACTCAGGGTGCTCCCAAGCTCTGGCATCCCAGACTGGCCCAGGTAGATGCCACCTGTGCTGGATCAGGCATGTGTGGGCAGGGGACACCACTCTTCTGGCTCAAGGGCCCAAATGAGTTTGACCCCTGGTCCACGTAGTTAAAACTCGGGAGTAGCTTCTTAAGAAAAAAGGTTATGTGAGTTACAGGAATGCATCACCCCAACTTTCTATATAAACTCATTCACCCAGAAGGAAGCATTAAAACTGATGCTAAAAATCTTCAGCTCCTACTTAAAAAATAAATCCTTTGCAAAAATTCTGGGGAATTTTGCAAACAAGAAATATAATAAACATGACTGCTTACATTCATTTAAACACATCCTTTATCTATTAATTACTTCTGTGATGAAACTCTTTCTAGCTGAGACCTTGCTTTCATACTTAACTGAGTGCCGTGGCAGATTGTTGACGCTATGTAAGCAGTAGCATGGGTGGACTCAAACACAAAGTAGTTTCTTTGTGTACATGTTACTAAAAGTCCCTTTTTAGGGGCAATGGACAGTGCACAGAAGACTGTCTATAAACTCCAGCATGATCACTTCCTGTTTTCAAATATTCTGTTCATTAGAAAAATGAAAGTTATTAGTTACTAATGGGTTTTGTTTTGACAAATAATGAAGGGCCAGGCTGGTGACATGCAAAACTGAAGCCGACTGCATTCAGGAATTAGACCCACAGCACTAAGTAATGATAGGTGAAACTACTGACACATCACTATTATAATTTATTGTTCATATCAATGTAGGATGTAGAAGCCCTAGGTATGAACCAGGACCCCAGCTTGGTAAGTACTGCACAAACACAAAAGAGGGTTTCTGCCCCAACCTGTATGTTGTTTCCTAGGTTTCTACCTTTACTTTCCAGGTCATGGACCCATGCCCCCTTGGTCATCCATATCCCCAGGGCATGTAGCATTTGTGATGGAACAGAGCCACTTTGCCCAGTGAAAAAGAGCTCTTTCATGACTGAAAAAGACTTGGGGGTCATGACTGATCACAAGATGAACATGAGCCACCAATGCGATACTGCAGCTGGCAAAGCAAACAAAACTCTGGCTTGCATCTCATCTTACTGATGCATCTCAAACAAGACCCAGAATGTCATCCTCCCATTGTACTGTGCCTTGGTGAGGCTGCAGCTGGAGTACTGCATCCAGTTCTGGGCTCCACAATTTAGGAAGGACGTGGAGAAGCTTGAGAGAGTCCAGAGGAGAGCCACACGCATGATCAGACGGCAGGAGAACAGGCTTTATGAAGAGAGGCTGCGAGCCATGGGACTCTTCAGCCTGGAGAAGCGCAGGCTCAGGGGGAATTGGTGGCAGCCTGTAAGTACATCAGGGGGGTGCATTAGGATCTGGGGGAATGCAAGTTCACCAGGGCACCCCAAGGGATGGCAAGGTCCAACAGTCACAAACTCCTGCAAGACCATTTTAGGCTGGACATAAGGAAAAACTTCTTTACCGTCTGAGCCCCCAAGGCCTGGAACAAACTCCCTGCAGAGGTGGTGCAAGCACCGACTCTGGACATTTTCAAGAAACATTTGGACATTTATCTTCCTGTCCTTTTGGGAAGGGGGCTGGACCCGATGATCTTGTGAGGTCCCTTCCAGCCCTGATGTCTGTGAAATCTATGAAAAAGGGACTGAAGGGAGGCTCTGAGCTAGCTATCTCTGCCCTCCTCTACCTGCAGCCACTGTCAGAGTTGGAGGGAGAATAAATCAGGTCAGTTGGAGATGACTGGTGGACTGGGCAGAACCTCGTCTCTTTGCAGCTAGATGGTCCTGTGGAGGAAGGGAGGATCCACTGACCACACAGGGGAAATGAAGAGTAGAGATAGCATTCCTGTTTGAGTAACCTGGCCTTGGAAGAGAGCAGAGCTGGGCCACCGGATCACCGCTCCAAGCCTGCTGTGACAGCATGGTTCAACCCCTGAGCTGCCCTGAAATGGAGCTGATGACATTCATGTTGGGCATCTAAATAAGACCCTCAGGGGCAGACATCAAAATCCTTATCCTTGGACTCAAAACCCAGACCTCTGCTTCTGAAAAAAAAAACAGTTCCTGAAAGAAGTCCCACCTTCATTCACTCCTGCCCAAACTTTAGGTACCTCTTACAACCTATGGTTTTGAAAATCACCTGTTTCATGCTCAGAACGTGCCCTCCTACTGCTTGAGACGAGTTCACCCTTCACGCAGAGGTAACAAATCCCAGAACAGAGAGGAGGCACTGAACAGCTCGCCCTGAGCTGGCTCTGGTTGAACTCGACGTGGAATAGTGCAATCAGCTCTGGACATCTCCATCAGAAAGGTATTGACACACTGGAAAGAGGTCAAAGAAAATGAACAACTTTAGGTTGAAGGCTGGAGGAACCAAATCGTGAGGAAAAGCACCTCCTTCTCTCTCTCAGATAGTCTAATGAACGTTAAAGCCATCCATATATTGTATCCTCCATTCTCTATTGTGCTCCATCTCGTGTTTCAGCAGATAGCATCTCTAGGTCTGTGCTGCACCACGAGGAAAAATTAAGACAGCTGAAGAGGAAAAAATAAGGAAACGAAATATATAGAACTTGACTAAGTAGCACAAGCAGAAGGAAGCACCATAAGCTAAAAAATATTTGAAGGGAATAATCATATGGGATGATGCAAGGAGGAAGAGCGAGAAGCAAAGAGTAACATTTGAGAGGGAATAATCAGACAATATCAGAAAAAATATTTTGATAGAGAACCTTGTCACATGGTGGCCTAAGCTAAACCAACTCATCTTACTATTCGTGGTTCTGTATAACGATTGCAGTTGGGTAGAAATTACTGTATATACCTAGCATAACAAAATGGATTCTTCGGCCGCGTCCTGATGAGTGCAGATGTTTGGTTCCCCAGGGACAAGTAGCAGCGGACGCCTTGTGCTGTTGCTGCTTGTCCCTGGGGAACGCCTGTGCCTGTGCATGCCCTGGCATGGGGCAGGTTACCCCAGGTGGGGTAGGGAAGCTGGGGCCAGCACAGTTGCTGGCCCCAGCAGTCTCACCTGGGGGCTGGGGAAGCTGCAGCCGTGGTGCTCCTGCAGGTGGGAGCCTGGCCGGCAGATGGATTTTGGCTCTGGCTGGCCAGGCTCCGGTTTTGGGGAGCGTGCACTGGGTCTTCCCGGGTCAAAAAACCCCTCATGCTGCAAGGCAGCAGCACAGGGAATGCCTGAATGTGCAGTGTGGCAGTGCAAATGGGTCTGCGATGCCACATAACGCATGACCATGTCCATCTGGACGTGGCCTAGGAGTTGTTCAAGCAAAAGAACAGCTCATGTCCACTCTATACCTACCTTGGCACTGTGGCATCAGGAGTATTTCCAGAATCATGATTCTACTACAAACCAGCTGCAATGTTCTCCCTAGAGTAATGAAAAACAGCCCAGCTTTTTATGAGCCATACCAATCTACTTTATTGTGCATTACTGAACAACCACTGTTGCAAAGACCCACTCACTAAAACAAAGGAGTAGATGCAATATTATATAAGCTCTCTGAAAACTGAGAGGAGGTCTCAAGCAATAATTTAATTACATTTTTTCCCTGTGAGCTACACCATATATGTAAAAAATTGCTTTAGTTTTTTTGGGAAAATAATTTTAGTTTGTGCCACACTGGGTATATTGGGCATTTTTCTCATCTACACCTCTAAGATACATTAAAGTGTGTAAAAAATCCATTTTCTCTCCTAAATATATAAGATGCTAAGAAGCCAGGATTCTACCTCAAAATGGTTAAAAACAGCCAGCTAAGTATTGCCAACAGGCAACAGCTGCTTTAAATTTAAGGAGGCAGATGGGCCATTTTGTGGAAAATAGACCTATAGCATAACTAGCCACAAATATGGTACAGCCCACTTGTTTCAGCACACCAAAGACCAACCCCATATTTACCCGGCAGCATAACATACACTGTTTGCTGCGATCCATCTGTTCGCCTAAGATAAGCGCTGTCAAGGCTGTTCAGCATTTGCATAGGAGATCATGAAAGAACACCTACAGCTATGGGCTGGGTCTGTGAAAGCATTCCCCCACCCTACTCCACTGGTGACAAGAAGTGTAGGGCTCATCTATGCAGCTTGGACCTAAAAAATGCAGGTGCCCTGTCTACACTAGTTCTGCCTTACTGCTGTGTCCATGGAGC